GTTTAGCCGTTTGGCCCGCGGTCCTGGGCCGGTCCCGGGCCTGGACCGGCCCACTTGCCAGCCCTGGACCAGCCCACTTGCCAGCCTTACCCAAAAGCCTCAACTTTTAAATCTATTCTGCTACTCTTATTGAAACTAAATTAGTTCTAATATCTTGAGTAGCAAGCCACAAGGTATTGGATATCTTTCCTCTCGTTTGATTTAGATTTCTCTTGTTGGATGTTAATCTTCTAATAAATTTTATTCTTAACTTTCCACTCGTGTGACTTATATTTCTCTTAATTTTGCTTAATTTATTTATCATACGATAGAATAGTGGGATGAATTATTATGTACATCTTGATTCATCACTTCTTTAAATAGTAGAAGCGCCTAGAGACTTTTGCCAAAGTCCTATCTAACTTCAACTTGCGATTGTTACATGATGTTTTAAAAAAAAAATATTGAGAAATTAACTGAATCGTACCGATACCGAAGAGAAACCGAGATGATTGGGACCGTTCCGAAAAGTTTAATTTTGGTTATGATATAAATTTTATAAAATAATCGACCGCGCCGAATCATTGACACCCTAAATGCAACCTATAAATTGCAAATATCAAAAAAGACTGATAAATAGCAAAATATTGCGACTTATAGATTATTACATATAACAAATGAAATGCGAGTTATAAATCAAAAATAAAAAACGCGACTTATAAATTAGAAATACAATCATTAACGCGAACACACTTTTTGCACATTGTTTTGACTAATAATTCTCCTCGATGTATTCCACCATTTTCGACAGCGAATGAAGTAAAGTCGCTTGATTTGGTTTGATTTTTACATAACCTAACATTCAACTTCCAATTCCGTTATAGCTTCGTCCTAGTAAAAAGTATAAAAGTAAAGCTTATTAGTTATTCATCAAGTATCCAATTTTTATTGGCAAAAATTACTTTTAGCCCACGGCCGAAACTATTTGAAATTTGTATATTTTTTGTATATAACATGCACAAACGTATATATACACAAAAAATATATATTTATTTTGAGAGCGGTTGTACAGTGTCATTTTAATATAAATATTATTTATATTTGATCCATTTTTAAAAAGTTAATTGCCCAACCTATTTTTTAGCGGATAACATGGATGAATATTTAATTTTTTTAAAATCCATTTTGTCACGCCAACTTGTTCCCCGTTTATCATGATCTCTTCAAACTTTTTCTTTTAAAGAATTATTTTTTAAGTTGTTGGTTGTTATTAAGTAACCGTCTTTACCCCCAAATATTTGAAGTATGTAAAAGACTAGACAACAGAGGAGAATCAGTCGAGCACAATTTATAAAAGCATACGGAAATCTCAACTGAAAAACTGAACCCCACAATTCAAGTGAGAAATATCTACCCAAATATGAAGTACTAAGAGGAAAAAAATGGCGCAAATTCAGTGCCAAACAAACTTTCACAGTATTTTCAAGAAAGATCTTTCTTTGAAATGCAAAATCCTACAACCATCTAATGTACTTTACGTTAACAGAAGAAGAGGATTTACATTACAATGTAGTTCATCATTTCCAGTGTCATTAACAAGTAGGGAAGAAGAAGTGGGATTGAAGCATAATGTGGAAGTTGGAAATGTTGGAAAAGAAAGAGTAGATTATGAAGTTGACTGTTTTGCGAATGAGAATGGTTGGAAAGTGAGAAGAATAATTGAGACTAAAGAAGAGATGAGGAAAGTTGCTGCAATTCAAGCTGAAGCCTTTCATAAACCTACTTTTTTTGACTTCTTTAAGGTTCTTTTCAAAACTCCAGTTTTCATTTTGAGTGAATATTGTTTCATGTTTCTTTCTGAAACCCCATTATAATTCTCTTCTTGATTCTCTGTTTGTGGAACTTTTCTTTATCATTTTCTAGTTATCTATTTTGCTATTTTGGCTTGTGAAATAGATAGGTGTAGGAAATGAATATGGTTGCATAATGCGAAAGAAATGTTAGAATTCTGCATTATAATTCCCTCTTTGGTTGGTTGGAAGAGAAACAATCAGAACTAGAAAAAAGGGAAAGATAATCGTTAAACAGTAGAAAGAAGGGGAGTCCTGGGGCAACGGTAAAGTTGTCTCGACTTATAGGTCACGAGTTCGCGTGGTGGAAGTAACCACTAATGCTTTTATTAGGGTAGGTTGTTTACATAATATACCCTTGGGGTGCGGCCCTTTCCCGGACCGCGGGGTGCCTTGTGCACCGGTCTGCCTTTTTTAAAAAAAAAATCGTTAAACAGTATGTTATTGGTAGTTCTGGTAATCTGCATTTGCTATTTGCAAAATATACTATCTAAGATTTTGAGCTTCATAGATGTATCATGTTTTCATTCTTAGTTTGAAACTCTGAATATATTGGATTTTTGAAATAATGGTTTTAAAATTTATAATATATTTGTTGAAATTTTACAAATATTATGGTTTATGCGTCAGTGACATACATTTTTATATCCACATAATAAAATGAGAATTATGCAGGCAAAACTACTTTCAGGACTTGTTAACAGACTAAGGAATTCAACACCAGACAGGTAAACATCAAACATTTTGAATGTGAGACATTAATTTTTCTTTTCTGTTTTAATTTCCCTTATTGTTAAGAAAATCTAAATGTCATTCTTGTTTGTACTAAACTGAAAATATTTATTAAGAAATTCTTGACTAAACAGGTATGCGTGTTTAGTTGCGGAGCACAATTCTGATGTGGAACAAGATATTGTAGGCGTCGTTTTTGCTACAGTTTTAAGAGATAAAGATGTTCTTCACTACTTTCCTGGAGCTGAGGAATATCTCTACATTTCTGGAATAGCTGTATTGAACAAATTCAGGTCCAACATTCAATACTTTCTCCTCCAATTACTCTTTCATACAACATTATTTGTCACATAAGAATGGTAGTTGATTTGACACATTGCAGGAGGCAGAAAGTTGCAACTGCTTTGCTTAAGGCCTGTGATGTGCTTGCAAGAATTTGGGGTTTCGATTATCTAGTCCTAAGGGCATATGAGGATGATTTTGGTGCTCGACAATTGTATACAAATGCAGGTTACATAGTAGTTTCAAGTGATCCTCTATGGAATTCTACGTTGATTGGTCGAAGAAGACGAGTTCTTATGGTTAAACAGGTCTCACATGAATCAACTAACATTCATTGAAACAAACACTTTGCTTCAAGTCTTTTGACAGTTGCATATCAAATTGGTCATTCAACATACCTGATGATGCTGAGTTAAAAATTAGAATTCTGTAAATTTGATAAATAGTTGAACAAAATTGTTTCAATTGATCTTCAGGAAAGAGTAAGTGTTTCCTGAATCTTGTGAATATTTCCTTTTTCTTCAGAGTTACGTGACTGCTCTGCTGTTCTGAAGTCTTTGCCTCTTAAGGAGACTTATTCTTAGCAAAGTTCAATCTGCATAAGTCAATCTGTTCCTTTGTGTTTAGTCCATTACATTATTTTGACACAACTTTTTATAATTCTAATCCTAAAAGAAAAGGTAAGATGAGATATAACCTTCCTTAAGAAATAAGAAGGAAGTTTTGGTGCTTCTTGAGAAGTATTTTAAGGGGTCGTTTGGTGTCATGACCCGAAATTCCCACCTTCGAACCGTGATTGCGCCTAACATTTCACTTGCTAGGCAAGCCAACATTAGAATAATATTAACTAATTTTTAAACAATCTTTAAATTATTAATAATCAAGGAAACAAAAGCGGAAGCAAAGTTTAAAATATAGTGAAATAATCCATAAAAATAACGGTATCTAAATATCATCCCAGAATTGGTGTCACAAGTGCACGAGCTTCTAGAATAAATACAAATAAAGGTCTGAATAAATAAAGCTGTCTGGAAATAAACACGCAGCTAAAGTAAAATAGACGGGGACTTCAGAACTGCGGACGCCATGCAGTTATACCTCAAGTCTCCTCTGGTAGCTGAAATCCGAGCAAGTCTATGGTACGCCGCTG